ACTACCATACTCAAGTCTCGGTCTGACGTGGGAAGCGGATAGCAGTCTGAAAGCGCCTTTCGTAAGCCGACTGAAAGATCTCCGCATACGTCCCAGGGTGCTCCACGAGCTGGCACAGACCCTATCGGTGTTTCCTCGGGTCTTTAGTGATAACGTCACCAGCACCACCGTTTTGATGGCGCAGTGGTTTGTTCGCTGTGACCAGCGTGCTTTGGATCCTATGGTCCGAGGTTCGAGTCTCACCACCGCCACCCAACTTTGGTGGTAGGCATCTTTGCTGTCATCCGTTTCTATATCACGCCTGACCTATCATGGCCTTATATTGTTTGCCACTCCAAGTCCTGGGGATCAGATTATCGGTTACCATCACTGAACAGCAGGTCCTCATGACTGTGGGGTTTACCCCGTGCCCTAGCCAGCAAAGTCTACTAATCTGAATTTGGTGTGTCAACAGATGACGTGGAGACGAAGCATGAAGAATTGCACAGAACCACTAGGTAGAGTATGTGTCTCTCGCCTTCCAGGTTGGGGTCCGAAAGACTCCACAACTGGTTTGTTGGAGACACTGAAGGAAATGGCATCGAACCGGCAGCAGTGGCGTTCTTGTTGTCGTTTCTTATCAGGTCAGAATGCTTGAAACGGGGTGTATGCAAAGTTCGATTTCATACTCTGTGTGCTGACGATAGAGGTTCACCTTCTTCCCCCTCCCTCAAAATAGATCCACTCCCTGTCCACCTTAAATTTTATCACTAACCTTGTATGCATTGTGAGTTTGGCAGCGGTCAATGAAGTTCGTCTCACTGTATTTCGCGGTGCGATGATGATGATGTCTACGGTTCATCACACGAAAGTGTGTAATAAAAAAAATCCAGATGGGTTCGGCTACGGCCAACGTACGTATTCTAACATTTTTAGGCCAGTTGGGGAGCCCAATAAAAAATGCAGAATGCTTCACTTGAGCTAACACGATGGCCAGTGTCTACCAAGTGAGCAAGAATCGCACTTTGGATAGATTTATTTTGGCGTTACATCAAAGTTAACTGTGCCCCCTCAAATTTCACTTTCTTTCTGGTTTGATTCTCGCCATCCAAACTCTGTCCTTCCCCCTCCCCCGCAAACAATTATAAACCTCACGAATGTTTGAACACATTTGACTTTTACCTCGCGCACGATACATCCAGTACAATGCCTATGCTACAGTCATTTGTGTCTCATCCATTTAATTTGTTTTTCTTTCTTCGCTAACCGCATCCGGCAGGATTGGATCAAAGCCAAAGAATATTTGGAATCTACCCAGGCTATTTATACCGGTTTGTTACAAACTATCGAAGAGGACAACCGAGCCATCTACACGGCCCGAATGGATGATATTTTACCGCAAATTCACTACTGTGCGTACAATATCGGGGATAAATCGGCCGCGTCTGATTTGCAACGAATGCGTGCGCAGACCACAGCAGAATCCGGTGGATTTGCCGAATTACAATTGGATCAGTTGTTAAGTCAAGCTCGAGCCACTCAGGCCGGTCAGGTGACTGAGGCCCAATGGCTCGGTCGGACTATTCCGGTCAAGTTGGAGAAAGCCAAAATGGCCATATTAATGGTCAAGGTAATGTCGTTTTTTGGTCATCTTTACTTTCTCTTCAATATGGAAAAAGGAGTCGCATCCTAATGCATTCGAAATCCCATTCAGCAGGTCCGGTCCTTATGAATCGAACTAATTCGTCAATTCATCGGTCTTGTTTACGTCTACAGTGGAACTCGTATGTCGCAAAGGTTACAAAGAAACATAAAAGTCGAAGATGGGGTTTTTGTTGGATATTTCAACTGTTCGTCTGTTTCTACACGAAGCATGGTGTCCACACTGGGCAGCTTTATTACTGACAGGATAAAAATACATAAAAAAAATTCTTCTTCCAGCTTAATCTCGGATATTCGGTACGCAACGGTTAGTGATGCACTTCAATCAACAGATTGTTAGATAAAACAAAACTGTCTGTTCTAGGCAGTCAGCTACATACTATACTCAGTTATATTGATGACGTTTTAATAGTGATATAGATCGTTAGGTTCTTCTCGGCTCCGCCATGGTGATTGTGTTCTTTGCGTCGATCGACCAGTAGGTGAGCGGTCACCTGTTTGATTGTGGTTGTCAAACTAACATTTTGCTGTGAATATGTCAGTCTCTTGTGTACTGTGTTAGAACTACGGTGTTTGTCCGGCACTGATCTCTGGACTCACTTCACTGTTTCTCAGTCCTTACTTCTTGTATATTGTATTGTTCCACTTGGTTGTCCAGGAGGCAGAACAAGACCTGAAAAACGCCCAAGGTCATACGGAGCAATTGTCCATCTACGAGTCTGTGCTCAAATCGTGTGTAGATGCGATTAGCGCTGTCCGCGATGAATTACGTGCCGTGTCCACGGTGGACAGTAGTGTGACCGGGACCGGGGACAAGAAAATCGCATCGACCATTTCATCAGACAAGGTGAGTGAGTAGATAACTATTTCATCAGGAACCGGTTGTTCCACATGAATCTTGGGTACAGAGTTTGTTTTCATTTCATGGAATCATAAGTGTATTCCGAGACGTAAATTCTGCGCTGATCACATCTATCATTTACCCTAAATCCAAGGAAATATGGTGATACATCAAGCGAAACAAATGGCACTTGTGTTTTTTTTTGCGTATTTTTGCTTCACACCCCTATTTCACCCGAACGTCTGTTCTTTGATAACGCATGCACTACTTCGTTTTGTTGTGGGAGTCACTCAATCGGTCTATTTCGTAACTAGCGAATAATCAATGGTTAGTCAGATACTAAAGACTTCCCAATGACCTTCAATAAGCGTTCCTTCAAAGCCTCTTCGGATGGTTCCATAATGACCGACATTAACCCTGTGGCTTCGTCACTTCATGGATTGCAGTTGCTAATTAAGCTTCCCGCTTATGCAAGTAGTTCAATGGTCATCCGATCTTGCATGCACCGGGTTGAGTCTGACAAATGTGGATACAAAAACATCGTCAATCCTCCTCGATTTTTCAATCAACGGATGTGAAATCCAGCCAATAGAGTATTTCCTCATAAATAAGGAACATGTGGCTTCCTGATTTAGAGAGCCTCTATCTCATATCGCTAACTAATATGGTTATCCGAGATTGACTTACATTGATGAAAATCCCATGGTGGCGATTCGGTGTGTAGAAATCATCTTTGCAGCAGGCATAGTTCGTGTAGTGTTCGTATGTTTAACGGTTGCCTACCGCACCGCAGCTTATTTGCATTGGCCGCTGCAGGCTGCAGAAAGCCACCTGGAGGCCCACAGATGGCTTGGAGACGAGGCATGAATACACCCACAGAAAGATTAGATAGATTAGGTGTCTCTCGTTTTCCTATCAGACTAGAATGCTTGAAACTTTGTGTATACACAGTTGGATTGTGTTCTCTGTGTGATCATATAGGTTCGCTTTCTTTTCCCGTTCCTAAAAGTAGGCCGGATTCCCCTATCCTCCTTACACATTCTCACGTACCTCGTATGCAATATGAGTTTGGCAGCGATCGGTGAAGTTCGCTTCACTGTATTACGCTGTACAATGAGGGTAATGAGTGTTCTGGGTCATCCGCCACCGAGTTCAAAAAATCTACACAATAACTCGCTCTCTGATTTCAATTGTTTTTACGATCACCGTGATAAATCACCTCCCTTTGGTCTCAGTCTATCTCCAAAATTGTTTACCCCATCCACCTCCCCCCCCCGCGCTTCTGATTGTGGTCGTCGGTGCAGGTCTCCCGGCTACAAATGCTTCACAACTATTTGCAATATCTCAAATTGTACAACACCATTGAACGCACCCTGGTGCACATCGATATGGCTCTTTCGACGGCCAGTCAACAAACCACCGGTCAAATACGTGACGGTCTGGGCACCAGTGCGTACGCAAAACCCCAGGAATTGGCTCGTCTATACGATACGTTGGTGCAAAATTTCCAAGAAATGATTAGTCTGCCTGGTACAATACAAGACCACGCCGGACTACGGACGTTGTTACAAGCCAAACTGCTGGCCTATCGAAGTTACCGGTAAATGACGGGTTGTTTAAAAATGGATTAGTTTGATGATTATCACGATCATTGATTCCTTTTTCTCCAACGGAGGTGAGGGAGAGGTAATTGAATCACGGATGTGTTATTCGTCTGTCAACTGGCAACTAATTTCAATTTCGCGTGAAAGCGTAACAATTTGTTGGATCAGCTTTACCTTCATTCCTTTTCATTTACTTTCTTACAACGAGACTGCACCTTGACGTGGTGTGATGGCTTGCGCACCTCAATGACCCAACGAGCTACACAGGATGGTTTTTACCGATCCAAAGATCTAATCATGCCTGGAAGATCAATGGGTAGAGGCCAGACGAAGTCCAGTCAGCTGGTCCTCCAGGTTGGGGGTTCGCCTGGAATTTGGTCTTTCAATCGATAAAAAGCGGTGGAGGAATAATTGATCCAAGCTAATGGGCCTCCAATCCGCCTCACCCGCTGCCTTGCGGTTAGGTTTTTGCCAAAACTAAAGGCTTTGATTGAGAACCCTAATCGTTCTCCTGCTTAGTGGCTGGACACCCTAGCAGTACCCATCCACCAAACCCCAATGCATACACAAAATAAAAATAATTTCATACTGCATCGGTCGTCGCGCAGGATAATCAGGACCGCGCTGCCCATTGGCATCGAGCGAGGTGGGTAGTGATAATTGGGCTACTGCTCAGATATCCCAACCTTTGTTTAACTCTTTGTCTTCCGTACCCAACCCTATCCCTTTACCCCTTCTACCGACCTGTAATAGTCCCTCAAGCAACTTGGATGTCGCTCACCAAAGGTCATGGCCAAATACAACTGTAACTAGTTTTCCTGTAAAGAAAGTACAGATTCTGAAGCCTCGTCAACCTCTCAATCTGGGGGCCTTCAACGTGAGGACTCTCATGCAGGTGGGTTAACAGGCGTGTCTTGCACGTGCAATGCAGTCTCTAGAAATTGATGTCTGTTGCGTATCGGAGACACGAATTCAGGATTCTAGTAGTATAAACCACCTGAGTGCGCCGGGTCTGTCCTCGAATTATTTCCTTCACACATCAGGAGACGACGAAGCCCGCTCACTGGGTCAGCGTTGTGTAGGGATCGTATTAAACGATAAAGCTGAATCCTCTATGATAGATAGTCTTCTGTGCGCAATGAGGCTACAGGGTTCAGTTAGTGTTCGGAAGGGTAGCAACACCAAAAGGTGTTTGTTCATAATTTCCGCGTATGCACCAACCAACTGCAGTCCCGCTTCACAAAAGGACGAATTTTACGACAAACTCACCGAACTGACTCGG